TAAGTGCTGCTGGCTGGGTTTCCCCATTGGAAACAATGGAGGTAATGGGGGGTAACCTGTTTGGGTGCCCATCAATGTTCCCTGTAAGCTGTGGAGTCTTGTGAGCAAAAATTCTACTTTGTGAGCTACTGGCATTAAAGTTGTGAGCGAACGATTTGGCTCCTGCATAAATTAGTTTGCTCTGAAGCCATCCTTCCTGAGCTGACAAAAATGTGTGAGCTGGAGGCTAAAAAACTGTGAGCTAGCTCACACTAACTCAGCTTAGAGGGAACATTGGTGCCCATAGAATTGAGCCCACTGGTCCAATTGCTTTGGTACATGGGGGTTTATGTGGGGAGAGAATCCCGAAGCTACCCTGAAAATTTGGAGCCTCTCCCTCAAACCCCCTCCCCCCCAGAGCCACTAACAGCACCATGGGAAAAAATTAACTTTCTTTCCCACCATAGAGAACAATGGAGGGGATGGGGCAACCTGTTTGGGGGCCCGTAGAATTGGACCCCCTGGTCCAATGTTTTTGAAACTTAGTTGGTATCTTGGGAAGAGGCTCCAGCAGCTACCCTGTGAGTTTGGAGTCTCTCCCTCAAGCCCTCTCCCCTCCAGCCCCCAGAATATACCCTATGTTTTCGCCACTGACTTCAATGGCCCATAGGATATAATGGGGCTGAAACTGACATTCGGCTTGAGAAAGACTCCTGAATGGGCTCCTACTGATGAAACTGACATGCAGGAGTCTTACTGCCAGCCGAAATTGATTCTGCCCAATTTGGTCTAATCCGAATGCTCTGAATTTATTTATTTTTTGCACTGTGCTATGGACTGTGCTATGACTGTGCTATGGAGTGTGCTATGACTGTGCTATGGACTGTGCTATGACTGTGCAAGTAAGTCTTTGGTTTTTCTAGTTCTGTTGAGAATATAGGGAATGGACAATAATTTCATGCAAATCATGATTAGTACTTCTGTTTGGGAAGGTAGGGGACTGCTCTGCATTATTCATATTGTCTGCTAGTAATTTGCTGCAAATTAATATCCAAGTCCTCAAAGTTTCAAAACAAACTTTTCATTAGTTTTCTGGACTGTATTCTTCATGTACTAACAATTAAAATTCTGCATGTCACCTCAAATGATGTGTCAAGAAAAAAACTCTGTCTTTTAGAAATTATGCTAATTGGGCAAAATTTGCATAATTTCTTATGCATAATTTGGCTGTGGCAAGGTGAGCAGTGTAGGATGCTGAGCCCTGCCTCCAGTGCTGGGTATATTGCTCAGCTATTCCTACAGCATTCAGACCTTCCTACACATTTCCAGTCATACTTTCATCAATACAAGAGCTATATACTTGTTGGTTTTCGTGATGGAAGCAGAGACTCTCATGAATCTGAGTTGTATGCTGCCATGGAACTATGCGTACGCATAACCCAGGATTATCAGATATCTTGTGCTGAATTTGGCCTTTGTCATGCAAGGTGCTGTTACGTTAACATATCCTCCGATTCTTCCACATTCATTTTCATAGAATCTCTAGAGATTCATGTAAACAGTTGAGTTATTATCCCCTTTTGTATTACAGCTCATTTTTAAAAGATTCATAATTTACATTTCAGTACAGCATCTGTGCCTTTATTCTCTCTAGAAAGCTGTTAGACTGTACAGTACACAAAATAACTTCTTCAGCTTTTTGAGATCTGACTTGGGTTTGTTCTTCTGGAAAAAAAAGTTGATCTTTTTTACAGATACTGTGCCTGAGTGGCACAATATAAAATGCAAATTTCTCTCATTTGTAGACATGGGATGAGATATATGGGAGGAAATTGTGTGTCTTGAATTGTTCCTGAGATGCCATAGTGCAGACAATAAATAGTATAGTATTGATGTAACAGATCAGTTTGGGGAGGAAGTTGTGTTTTTTGATCTGTTTAGAGTATGATATGATACTGTTGGACTTCATTATTTTAAAAAACGAGGACCTCAGAATTGCTTGTAGCAGGTAGTATGTATAATTAATGACATATATTTTCTAGGTGCAATGGATGAACTTCATAGCCTGGATCCAAGAAGGCAAGAGTTGCTAGAAGCCAGATTCACAGGAGTAGTGAGTGGCAGCACTGGAAGTACAGGAAGTTGTAGTGTTGGAGCAAAGGTAAGTAGGCAATTGGACCATCTAGTATAAATGTCTCATGTTTCAAAGAGTGTGCATAGTCTACTTCGGAATATGGTGTATTAAGCAAAATGTCATAGTTATCAAGCGAAAGTGCTAAAATTTATTGGCCACCTGATATTGCCTACTCAACACCCAGTTCTTGGAAGTAATTGTTTCTAATTCTGTTTATGTGGGGGAATCAAAATATGTATGATTTTTTTCCTTAAAAGTCTGTTGATTATGCTAAAAGCATTTAAAGTTATGTTTTTAATTTTTTTTTAACAGGCCTCAACAAATAATGAAAGTTCTAATCACAGTTTTGGAAGCTTGGGATCTCTAAGTGACAAAGAATCAGAGGTATGAAATAATTAAAAATTAATAGCAGTTTCTGATGCAAGCTTAGATTTGAATCATGGAGTTTGACCACAGGGTGTCAAACTACTGGTAATGGAAGGACATCATTAGATCCAGTCCGGCATCATAGCATCACTTGGTGAAGTAAGTAACCTTCAGTGTAGGTTTGTGGGGAGCAGGGTTTTCCCGAAATTTCAAAAGGTGTCTTAGGGGTTTTTTTTAATTGTTTGTTGTTGCTTTACCAGGGACAGGATTTGATAGTAGCACTTTGCTCCCTGGAAGCCACATTTGCCATTCCAGTTGTGATTACATAGGAATGTATTGATGCTACTTTTGAAGATTTTAGAAGTTATGTGAAAGCAGAGCTAGGCAGTTCCTCCTAAAGAATGATGTAGGAATGTGAATGAAAAAGTAAAGTATTTTCTGGTGATTTTGTAAATTTTGCAGTGTCCTTCAGGACTTGACAAAAAAAAATTGGTTGTAGGAGCCATACTTGTTTTCCAGCCTTCAGAGTTTTATGTTTTAATCACCCTATTTTCCCATTATTGCTACCACAAAACCTAAACTCGTCAGTTTTTCAGAATTTTATGGCAAAACAGTGTATGAATAAATATGGGTTTCATCATGACAACAAAAAAGTTAATATATATCCCTAACCTAACTTTTCACTAATTTCTCCTAACTTCATTATTGTTTAAAAAATCTGTTTAATTGAATATTGACTGTCTAGAATGCAACTAATTAAGAAATGAATTTATCTACCACTACTGAATGGTACAAAGTTAATGTATAAACAAGCAGTGCCAAGAACTTTATGCACATGTGTGTTTATGTCATACAGCAAGACATCTTCTGATGAGTGATAAGTTTGTACTTCTGAGGATCACTGAGAAACACAAAAAAATCTGTTTAATTGAATATTGACTGTCTAGAATGCAACTAATTAAGAAATGAATTTATCTACCACTACTGAATGGTACAAAGTTAATGTATAAACAAGCAGTGCCAAGAACTTTATGCACATGTGTGTTTATGTCATACAGCAAGACATCTTCTGATGAGTTATTGTACTTCTGAGGATCACTGAGAAACACTGTAATAAAATCATTGCTGAAGATACTAGGTGTAACAATGAAATTTCTAGGCACCATAAAACAGAACTGGAAGGTATCCCAAGGGTCATCTAGAGCAACCCCCTACACAATTCACAGCTCCCTCCCTCCTCCATTCTCCCAATTTCTCCTTATTTCTGCACTATTCCCAAAGGGAAACTGGCATCTGGGATTTGTCTAGGCCTGGTGTACTTGAATATATTATGGGCAGAATAGATCTTTGCAGCCTCCCCCATCTTCTGCTATACTAGCATCACCTGAAAAACAGGTGGTTTTAGAAACTGCTGGATGCACCACGGGAGAGCAGGTGTAGCTCATTGGGTGAATCTACACTAATTGCAAACTCTGTTGGCTTGAATTCTAGTGCCTTTCATTTGTGCAAGGATCCAACGTGTGGCTAGGATTACAAGAATGGTGCAACCAGTTCCACACTGAAGGAAATTGGTTGGGGCTTTCCCCCCCTCAAGCAGCAGTGGCCTGTTTGCCCTCGGAAAATCAGAGCTGAGACTGAAGGGACTTGCAAAAGCTGCTTGCGATGCAGCATGGAGTGGATGTTGCTGCTCTGTTTTGGGCATGCATGAAGTCGATATCTTCATGTTTGCCTTTAACAAACAGATTTAATACCCAGATGAGGTTCATACAACTAATTCAAATTATCTAAAGTGAAGAATATTTTGTGTACTTGTTGTAGTATTTGTAACTTCTTCTGAAAAACAAGACACAGTTCATTTTTCCTTTATACATTTCTGTGCTTGATATAGGATTTACGCATAAGAAGTCATCTAGTGTATACATTTTAAATTTGGTGCCCCTTCAGCATGGATGGGACTATGCTGCCTTCAGTATCATTCTGAAGAAATAAAGGGCATTGGTTTTAGATAGTATCACTGCTGGATTGTGTCATACGTGCAAAAAAAGTATAAGTTTAAAATTACTCCATGATAAAATTTCTTGGATTTCTCTTATTTCTGATATGCAAGTACTGGCTTGTGTATGCTGATGGTCCTTTTTGATTGAACCTGACTCCAGCAGTCTTACTACATTTTGCTGGGTTTTAGTTCATGTTTTTAACTGAGAGACAGTTTGGTGTAGTGGTTAAGTGCGTGGGAGAACCAGGTTTGATTCCCCACTTCTCCACTTGCAGGTGCTGGATGACCTTGGGCAAGCCATAGTTCTGTCACAGCTGTTCTCAAGGACAGTTCTGTCAAGAGCTCTCTCAGCCCCACCTACCTCAGAGGGTGTCTGTTGTGGGGAGGGGAGGGGAAGGGAAAGGAGTTTGTAAGCCTCTCTGAGACCCCTTCGGGTAGTGAAGGGCGGGGTATAAATCCAATACCTCCTCTCCTCTCCTCCTTTTATTACAATTTGTCTATGGAGCAAGCACCACACAAATGTTGTGGGATAATTTCTATACTTCAGTTGTGCTTCATTCAGATATGTTAGTAATCTACTTGTATACTTTCTAGCAACTAGCAGTATAATCCTATGCAGATTTTGCGCCTTCCAGGTCCATTGAAGTCAGTGGGTTTAGATGGATGTAACTGTGTTTAGGATTGCACTGTGAATAAATAATGATTTGGATCCACCTCCTGCCATTCCAGCTCCCTCCCCCAGGCATATAGAGGGCAGTTTTGTGTGGTCAAAAATTTTGAGGGTTGGGGTAAATATTGATTATTGGTGATGGGGTAATATGTTGAAAGCAGTATTAAGTGACAGAATACCAAGGTTATCAAACAAGAAAATTACATATTCCTTCTAATTGTTTAAAAAAGCCATTTATCTCTATAAAAAGATGAAACTCTTTAACAAGAGTTTACTTAAGAGTAATGTGTTTTCCCACATGGGAACAGGTTTGTGTAGTTTCCCCATTGCAACTACCAATATATTGCAGCAAATATGGGTTTTTGACATGGCAGGTACCCTGGCAATGACCGTTGTCTTCTGTGCTACCAGGGCTTTTTCAGGTTTTTTTCCAGTTGGCAACTGAATATTGCTACAATAGCTCTCTGAATTTTCAGCTTTCATTTTTTTATAAAAATAAATCTCTAGCTTGTTTTGGTACAGATGTATACCATTCCCCTTGTATCTTCACAACAAAAGGAACTGGAGACTTTAAAAATGAAAGCTGGGGATTCAGAGAAAGTGATAACAGATTTTTATAAGATTATTCAGTTGCCATTTTTTTAAAAAAAGATTCCCCAGTGGTTGGAAGGAGGAAATGCCTGCCATGTGGGTGGGGATCAGGGAAATCCAAGTTTTCTAAGCCACACAGCAGCCAATCCAGGCTTTGCCACAATCTTACCCCAAAACTTCACAGCAAATCAAGAATGGGAAGGACTGGAGAAAAGCCCAGGAAATGATGGGAGGTACATGGAAACAGCACGGTGCTGTGGAGAAGCTGGGAAAAAACCTCACACTTCCTAATAGCCATGTGCATGTGGAAGCAGCCTAATATGAGTGACAATGTTGCACTTTTCAAGTTAGCATCTGTGTTCTTATGTACATAGAGTTTTGGGTTGTCGGGGGTGGGGAGTTAATCTGCTTATTAATTGGATGTTACCCTTTTAATATGCCCATGGGTTGAACTACTGGTGGATGATTTGCTTTTTGCAGACTCCTGAGAAGAAACAGTTGGAATCTTCAAGGGGAAGAAAAAGGAAAGCAGAAAACCAGAGCGAAAGCAGTCAAGGTAAAATTTAAGGGTTTGCACGGTAGCAGATCAGTTAGGCATTAACTGTGTACGTTGGTTCTGCTTCAGTTGAACACATGTCATTAAGGAAGTGTCAACTTTCTAGAGTCATAATCTGTACTGTTCTGGGTTAATGCAAGCCATACCACCCCTTCCCATTGTCACCATTACTTTAAGCACTCAAAGTTTTCCCAGACAATCTCTTTGAAAGGTTTAATTTTGTTCGTTTACTTTAGATGGTTATGAGAGTTCTCTTTCTGAGGCAGAGGACATCTTAGTAGGTGATTCCCATCCTCCATTCAGGGAGGCAGAAACAAAGTCTTTTCCACTTCCCGTCTCCTTGGTGGGAGTCACCCATCTCAGTTCTCTTACTGCCTCGACAGGGAGAGCAGTACAGAATAGGCTGTGACATACCTATTCATTCCCTTTCCCAACTTTTTATGCTTTTCTGCCTCTAGATCTTTACCTTGTCTGGCTTTCTCAATTCCTTCTAACTTTCACTCCTGTTCTAATCTATCTTGAGTACTTCAATGAAGAGATCATAGGGGAAGATTTCTATAGCTGGAAGAGTAACTGTCAGCCGCCATGGCCATTTTCTCAACCTGACAGGCTTACTGAGCGTGTTCTACAACCACTCTAAAATGGAAGATCGTGAGTGCAGCAATGGCTTCCTCTCAGAACGAGAGTCAGAAGGACCCTCACTGCCAATCCCAGTTAAAACACCAACGTGATTGGTACAAAGTGACCAGGAACCGTATCAGCAAACGTTCCCTGTGCAAAGCAACTAGAGATTCAAAAACATACCAAAAAGAGTGTGTCCTTTTTCCTCCCTAGCACCAGAATCCATGGCTGCCATTTCTGTGCCCACCACTACTGACAACTTCGTCAACCAATTGGGAGAAGGCTGCGGAGTGGTTTTCCCCACATCCATAAGCCACTCAAATGATAAGAGGGCCCAGTGAGAGTAATTCAAGCTGGGTTTTAGAATAACAGCAGCATCCAGGTCCAGTCTTGACAATGATACTACAGGTTTACTCGTGAGTAATGTTCGGGGAGTGGGAGCCTTGATATTCTTCCTAGATTTCCTAAACTTAGACAAACCATGTGGGAGGAGATTGCCAACTTTTACCAGAGTGGAGATGGAAGAGACAGGTCTCACTCCAGTTCCTCCTCCTGCACTTCCCCTCCCAGACGGGGATCTAGAAAGAGCAGTTCCCTCCAAAGGGAGACATAGCTGGTCACTAAGGCAGCTAGGAAGGAAGCTTGTAGCAGAAAAAGAGAAAGAGATAACTCACAATGGGACCCAGACATATATGCAGATAGTGAAGTGGAAGAGGGGGAGTTCCTTTCAGACAAGGAAGAGGATAAGATAGAAAGTCCGGAACAGTCCGGAAGGTTCTTTAAATCAGAGGACTACCAATATCTCTTATCCAAGACCAGGGCAGCCTTGGAGCTGCAGGAGAATCCTTTAGGAGAGGAACCAGGCCCTTCCACATCGGAATCCGAAGGCAGGCCTAAAGGAAACAATTCTTCCCTAGCCTTCCACATCGGAATCCGAAGGCAGGCCCAAAGGAAACAAAGAATTCTTCCCTGGGTCTAGCGTAGCAGAGAGGGTCTTCCTCTTACCTGAATTCTTTGAGAAACAATTAAAGGCAGAATGAGCAAAACCTATGGGAAACACACCATTTCCATGCTTTAGTAAGGAACTGTATGCTTTACCATTATTCAGTATTCAGTTTTTTCAGGTCCCGCTAGTGGATGCTCCAGTAGCAGCATTGCAGTCTTCTGGGCTACTGACAGAAAATGGCAAGGGCATGATCCAGGATAGCATGGACAAAAGAGCCGACTTTGCCTTAAGAAATCCCATGAAACCACTGTAGTGGCCATTAAAGCTTCCTTGACAGCCTCAGTAGTCTCAAGAGCAGCTATTGTCTGGTCTAGGAAACTTTTCCAGCTCATCCTGTTCATCAGCTGTCACCTGGTGGAGGGAGTCAATAGAGTACTCAAAGCCACTTCATTCATGGCAGACGCAGCATTAGATTCCTTAATTTTCTCACTAGGGCTATGGCATCTGAGGCAGCTGCCAGAAGAACTTTATGGCTCTGGGCTTGGCAAGCCGACCTCCATGCTAAGTCAACAGCTACAGCCTATCCATTTCAAGGTATGCTCTTGACAATTTTTTTATCGAAACTAGAGACAAGAGAAAGGCCTTACCTGGGACACTAAACTGCACTGACAAGAGGACCTTTGGCAATTACTCCTTTCGCTCCCAACATGTCCTACTGAGGTTCAGCAAGGATAACAAAGGCCAGATTGGGGCCGCTTTAGACAAACCTTCAGGAGAGGTTCATTCAACAATCTGTTCAACAAACAATTCAACAACAGACCTGACAAACCAGCTTGTGACAATAAGCCATCCAAAGCATGACTGCGAATCAATTCCGGGGAAGGGGGGGCCTCTTTAGCACTTTCAAAACATGTGGTTCAACTCTCGGTCAGACAATTGGTCTCTTGAGATAGTCACCAGACGATGCTCCATAGAGTTCATCAGACCCCCACCAGAGTGATTTATTCCCTCTCCCATACCTCCACATCTCGATCTATGCCGGAGGGTCATACCTACACTGGAGTGTCTCATCTACAATTTATGGCCCTACCGTTCAGCCTCTCTATGGCACCAAGGGTTTTTATGAAGATCTTGATCAATCCAGTTGTAAAAAAAGGGCTGGGCATTCACATCCACCCTTATTTGGACGACTTGTTGATCAGATCAGGTTCCAAGATCAAGTCATGCCAAGACACAGAAACAACTATCTGCCGTCTACAGGCCTACAGATTTCTTCTCAACCTGCAGAAAAGTTCTCTAGAACCTATTCAGAGACTAGAACATCTAAGTGTCATATTAGACACAACATGCAATTGCCTTTTTCTAACAGAACCAAAGGCAAAGAAAATGAAAGAGATGTCACAAGCAATTATCAAGAGCAGCCTTCATCACTGATGACACTCACAGAACTAATGGGCCTACTGATTTCAAGCATTGATGCTATCTAGTGGGGTTGGTTGCACACAAGATCCCTACAGCAACTTCTGAGACCTTTCTAGATACAAATTACAAGCAAAGAGGATCTTTTCATCAGGGTTCCCCTGACAGTAAAAACCAGTCTGGTGGACAAGAATGTCCAGCCTTCTATGGGGAAAGAAATACTGCATTCTGGAGGTGAAGCAGATCTTTACGAATGCCAGTCTCTCCAGTAGGGGAGCAATGCTAGACAACTCCCCAGTGCAGGGTTGATGGTTCAGAAATGAGATGAGCCTCCCCATCAACATAATGGAGCTTTAGGCAATTTACCTAGCCTTAATTTACTTCAGCCCACAAGTAGTCAGTCAACACATTCTAATCAGAACAGACAATGTGTCTGCCAAAATGTACCTCAACAAGCAAGGAGGGTCCTGATCTTCAACACTCCTCAAGGAGGCAATCAGGATCCTCGTGTGGGCAGAGAAGAACCTGGCAGAACACATAAAGGGAACGATGAATATCCAGGTGAATTGGCTCAGCAGTCAGACCATTCAGGAGGGGGAATGGTCCCTGAAGAAAGATCTGTTCCAGCTGATCACATCCTGCTTTGGACTTCCTCTGCTGGACCTCTTCACTTCAACCATCAAATGAACCAGTACTTCACCAGATTTTTTCATCCCAAGACTGAAGCAACCAATGCCCTAACATCCCAATGGCCAAGTGGTCTTGTGTTCACCTATCTCCCTACTACAGTTCTTCCCAAATTAATCAGGAATATCGAGGAACAGAAGGCAGAAATCATCTTAGTAGCACTATATTGGCCTTGGCGACCATGGTTCTCTGCCCTTCAGGAAATGGCAACCCAGCCACCATTAACACTTCCAGTATCACCTGACATGCTTCAACAAGGACCTGTATGGCATCCACATCCAGAGTGGCTACATCTAACCGCATAGAGATTGAGTGGGGCAACTTTTTACAACTAGGATACTCTGTAGAAGTGACAGATACCTTACTAGCTTCTAGAAAACATTCAACTAGTAGAATTTATAACACTTCTTGGATGGTGTTTGTCAGGTGGAGTAGAAGAAAAGGTATCAACCCCTTGAAACCAAAGATTAAACCCATTCTATCATTTCTACAAGATAGCTATGCAGTGGACTCAAGGCTTCTGCAGTAAGATGTCAGGTTGCAGCTCTGATGACGGTGTTAATCTCACTTCCAGGGACTGAGTCTATCCAGACACCCCCATATATGTTGATTTCTCGCGCTGCTTGGAAAGATCCACCACAACTACACCGATTTCCAGCATGGAAATTGCACACCGTGCTCTTTGCTCTTACTAGACATCCCTTCTAAACTATTAAAGAAATTCCTCTTAAATGGCTGAGGATGAAAACCTTGTTTTTTATAACAGTTATATCAGCAAAGAGAGTGTCTGAACTAGGTGCACTGTCGGTCATTCCTGCGTTGTGTGTTTTCCATAAGGATAAAGTAGTCATGAGGACAGACCCTACTTTTAGACCCAAGGTGAATTTGACTTTCTACAGATCTTAGGAGATTTGCCTTCCATCGTTTTGCCTGAACCCCACTTATCCTAAGGAAAGACTGTGGCATACATCGGATGTAAGACATGCACTTAAAACCTTCATTTATAGGACAGAAGATATTAGGAAAATGGATTCCTTATGCATTTCCATCTCTCCACCAAATAAAGGAATGAGGATGTCAAAATCGGTCTTCGGCGGTACTATTAAGGCCTGCATTATTGAAGTTTACAAAGTTCAAAAATTAGACATACCAAGCAGGGATTACTGCCCATTCAGTTCAAAGTACTGCAACCAATGCAACTTTTGCCAGACACACTACAGTTGAAGAGATCTGCAAGGCAGCTACTTGTTCAACAATATCCACCTTTGTATGACACTACAAGATGAACATCTATGACTCAGCTGATGCGGTGTTTGGCAGAAGAGTGTTAACATATTCTAGAATCAGATGATGACCCATACAAAAAATGAGGACACTGTTTTGGGAGGTCGCAGAAAGATGTCCTCCACCTCAGAGGAGGAACAGACCATTGGATACTTACAGTGAAGGGTCCTATTGTTCCTTTGCTTTGCTGTTACTCATCTTTCTCCTTGTTATAGTTCATGTGTGTTGATTCTTTCATAGTTTAGGAGGTTTGTTAACTGCTTTTGGAGTTGCCAGAACTGAGGAGATGGGTGACTCCCACCAAGGAGACAGGAAGTGGAAAAGACTCCCTGAATGGAGGGTGGGAATCAGCTACCAATATGTCCTCCTTTCCTCAGAGGAGAAGGACCCCTCATGGTAAACTGGCCCATAGCCACGGTAGGCATCTTGGGGTCACGCCTCTTTAATTTACAGCCATGCCCCATGAAAGTCGCTCTTTAAAAACCCTATTTTTAAAGTAGTTCTTTATGTATTAATCCTGCTGCGTCACATTGCCATGTGATTTAGCCAGCTGATGGCTGGTCCTGTGATCCTTCCCCAACTGGCTGGAGCTCTAAGCCAGCAGGAGGGTGGCTGAGCCATGGGTAGGTTCTTCCAGGTGGGTGACCCATGGGCCAATGGCCCTGCGGGCAAGATGCGCAGCCACACACCATGGAGCTGCTGGGCACTGTGGGCCACTGTAGGGCTGCTGCTGCTGTGGCATGGCTGCGGGGGGTGAGTGAGGGCAGCAAAGCAACCAACCCTTCCCAAACACTGCACAGAGGAATAGTGGCTCCTCTGTGCAGTGCGCGCCTGCAGCGCAGGGAACCTCACCACCTGCTGTGACACAACCCCCTGTTTTTCATGTGGGTGCTTTTGCCTGCCACTCTTCCCTCCCCTCCCCCGGCCAGGAAAGTGCTTGGAAAGTTGAGTGAAGTGTGGTGAGGGCCTGCTGGGACTGGGTTTTGGCACAGGGGAGAGTGGGGTCACTCAGGAGCAGCTGCAGTGCCTTCGAGGGGCCATGGAGATCCTTGATAAGGCTTTTTATCAGTGGCCTTGGTGGGCCACCTGCGGCTAGGAGAGGCTGGGAGCCTGCGCTAGTCGCCCTGAGTTCACCTGGGGGGTGATGTCCAGAGATCCATCCCTCTAGGTCATTGGCATTGCTCGTAGAAGGCTGCCCCAGAAGAAATAAATATGCCTCACAAACCAAACAATCTTGGTTAAGGGTCTGACGGTAAGTATCCAATGGTCTGTTCTTGCTTTGTGGATAGTCATTGAGGTATTTCCCCCCTCTCCCCAGGAAACATTGAAGGGAATTGAATTTATTGCTATGACTTCCATGTGAACCATCAAAACTATCCTAATCTTAAATGCAACCTTCATTTTTCCAGACTAGTATTAAAACTGTGGTCAAGTGACCAGGAAGAGGGAACATTTCACTTAATGAAATCAAGTGAAAACTGAAACTCTCCAGGCTCTTCATGCCATCTCAGAGGGAGTAGACCTGTGTGCCTATTTTCAGCATGGTCCTTTAATAGGCACTGCATACTGGGCTTATTGACATCCACAAGGAATGAATAGGGGATGTATTGATGATGACCCCTTTGCTGCTGTCATCGCTCTTGCCTCTTCATGTTTATTTCCTTTTTTTAGATAGCTGAAGAGCTGTCCACATGATAACAAATATAATAGAAACATTTTATTAGAAATGTTTTTACGTTGGAATTATTAAACAACATTCCATGAAGATGTTCACCCTTAGAACTAGATTTTTTAAAAAAAAATTCGGCTACTTCACCCTTTTGTCAGGGACTGATTTCTTTTTTCTTTTTCTTTTTTGGCCCCCCGGAGGGGATTTTTGTGTGCGTGCATTTTTAATAGACTACAAACTACAATGAAAAATTGGGAAGGGGTAACTACAACTAGGGAGAAAGGAAAGAAAACCACTAATAACCAGGGGTCTTGTTGTAGAAAAAGAGCTGCCGGAGCTCATTAGCATAACTCATTAGCATAACTTATTTGCATATGCCACGCCCCCTGACATCACCGGAAGTGACAGAAGGCCACACCCCCTGACATCACCGGAAGTGTGTCAGAAGGCCCGGCTACTTACCCTCCTGCTTCATCCTCATTCCCAAACGGAATGAGGATCGAAGCAGAGGGCGGGGTAAAGAAGGGGGCGGGGCTTCACCACGTGACCGCCCCGCCCCCTAGAGGTTCTCTTCCGGAGCTCCGTACCTGAGAGCCCCCCCCCCACTAGAGCCCTGGTCATGCCGGCCACATGACCACGGAAACATCTTCGGACAGCGCTGGCTCTTCGGCTTTGAAATGGAGATGAGCACCGCAGTAAGTCGGGTTAAAGCGAATACGAGTATTTAAAAAGAAAGCTACCCCCTGGGAACGGCAAGAAAAGCGAGCGGGGGAGGGGCAAGAAGATGTGGGTGTGTGTCTTTACCAAACAGAAAACCATGCTTAGAGAATATTTATTGGAAAAGCCTTTATTATTCAAGCCCGATATCTCGTTATCTTCTTTAATCTGTTTCAACATTACTTCTAAAATCCATATAAATAATAACGGAGATAAAGGGCATCCTTGTCTCGTTCCTTTCTGCACTTTAAAAAATTCCGTCGTTTCTGCGTTGATTACCAACGCCGCCTTCTGGTCTCTATAAATTGCTTCAATCATTTGTCACCAACATTTGGTCCCAGTTTCAGATTGTCAAACGCTTTCTCGGCATCAACAAAGAAGAAACCAACCTTTTTCTCTGGATGTTGTTCATAGTATTCAATTGCATCAATCACCATCCTTAAATTATCTTTTATTTGTCTTTTGGGTAAAAAGCCTGTTTGTTCTTCTTCTATTGTTTCTTGTAAATATTTTTTGACTCTCTCCGAAATTATTTTCGCAAACAGTTATAGTCATTATTCAGCAAGGAAATCGGTCTGTAGTTCTTAACATTTGTTAAATCCTGTGTTTCTTTAGGTATAAGTGAGATTGTAGCTTCTCTCCATGTTTCTGGAATCTTTTTAGTCTCTCTAATATCATTCATTAAGAGTTCAAAAATTGGGGTTAGCTCCTCCTTTATTTTCTTATAAAATGTTACTGTAAATCCATTCGGTCCTGGAGCTTTCCCCAACTTTGCCTCTTGTATCGCTTTATCAATTTCTTCTCTGGTAATAACACTGTTTAATGTTTCTTTATATTTTTCTGTAATTTTTTCTATATTCACTTTCTCCAAATATTCTTTTAATTTACTCTTGTCCACATCTTTTTTGCAAAAAGTTTTGCATAATATTTAAAAAATGCTCTCTTGTTTCCATTAGCACTCATTATCTCTTTTCCATCTTCTACAATCTTAGTTATATTGTTTCTTTCTTTCCTCCGTTTCAGTTGCCATGCCAAATATTTTCCTGGCTTGTTTGCTCCTTCAAAAGATTTTTGTGGTAGTTTTTTCAAGTTCTAATAAAGTCTTTGTTGCCTGGAGGAGCTGTAAGACACATTTATTTGGGTTTGCTTACGGTGGCTGTTGGTTGTTTTGAATTTTAATCTTGCAGCATTTTGGCATGATGTTATCTTCTAGGCTGTTCTTCAGGTTATACTAACTCTTGTCCTGAGCTTTTGGGATCAAGCAGATCAGAACAATAATCAGATACAACAAATCCATTTATTGTGTCTTGGAAGTCTGCCCAATAAATAATCAATCCATTTAGTTTCTGTACTTTTCCCACAGTCACCAAACTGTTGATACAATCTTATTTTCTGAGTCTAGTGTGAGTAATCAGCCTTGTTTTGTTATGGAAATAAAGTAGAGTTCTTAATACAACCCCATAGTTTATAGACTATGAAATCTTGCCTATGCCTATGAAATCTTATGCCACACTAGTCTTTACGTTGCCATAAAAGATGTTGTTTGCAACACAACTGCTCTTCTAAAATTAATCATTCTAGAGTTAGTCATGACTCCATATATTACATTCAGTGGGCTTTGGTCGCCGCTAACTATTGCTGGATTGGGACCTTGATATAAATATAGAGTAATTATATGATCTCTTTTTTTTTTATTTTTTTAAATGACATTTTTTTATTATTATAAAAACCAACATTTAAACAAGAGACATTAATCAAATGTTATACTATGAAACGGTAAACAACCATAGGATTTGATATAAATATGCCCAACACGAAATTACATGTAATGAAACACTGCAACATACTGGGAAGGAACAGCAAATTTAGAAGTGTCGTTGTTAAAAACATATTCTAAAAAAGGAGACCATTTCGTGCATAGAGTAGATTTTGAACATGAACTATTAGTGGAGGAAGCCACTGCATCAGAGAGTTTGTCCATGATGTAAAAGTCCCAAATTTTTAAACGCCAAGAGGAGAGAAGAAGTTTGTTGGTGGATTTCCAGCTACTCGCAATAACCACCTTAGCAGCTATAAGCAGAGTCGAAATAAGGTCTTGGCTACATTTGGGTATAGGGGGGGCATTCCATAAATCAAGTAATATTAATTCAGGTTGCAATGGTATCAAGTGCCCAGTTATGATCATTTTTGAAAACACAAACTTCCATTCTTTAAATGAATATATTTAGGGAGATTTGATTGTAATTGCAAAGAACCCTTTAGAAGCTAAATTTTAAGTAAGACATGACAGTATGGATAACTATGATGTGTATTATATATTCTTGTGTCTCATTTTTCATTTTTAAAAATCATTTTTTGTGTTTGCTTCAGGGAAAAGCATTGGGGGACGTGGTCACAAAATTAGTGACTATTTTGAAGTAAGTTTCTGATATACTCTAAACAATTACGGTATTTCTCTGTTCCTATGTTAATGGTTTATTTTGATAGATGCATACTAATGTTCTCAGTTATCTGCTTTAACATCATATTAATAACCCAGCAGCAATATTTTCTGGGAGCTGTTACATAACAAATTAGAGGGCTTGTGTATGGTGTTGACATAAGAGTAAGGGACTTAATACAGGTCTGTGTAGAGTTACTCTAGTCTAAATCTGTTGGGTTTAGATCAGAGTAACTGTGTAGGTATGTGCTGTAAAGCAGGGGACCCCAACCTTTTTTAGCCTTCAGGAATTCTGACCCGGTGTGGTGGGCACAGCTGCAAAATGCCTGCCACAGGAGTCCAGTTCCGCCATAGAATGGCTGCCACAGCTTACCTTCAGTCACACGATGAAGATCTTTGTGCTGTGGTAGTAACTGCTCCCATAGCAATTTTTGTTAAAAAAATCTGCACCACCAATCAGAGGCTTTCTTGGTCCTGCTCACTTCCTAAGAACACTTGACGGGCACCAGAAAAGATGCCAGCAGGAACCATAGTGCCCAGAGACACCACATTTGGGGCCCTTGTTGTACAGCAACCACAGGACTCCCCAGCCCCCTATCTCAGTGTGTAGAAAATGTCTATCGCTACTTAATTCTTGAGGAAATTACAGAATGAGTGTTCCATATAGCTGTGTGTATAGCGTGAACTACAGATTCTCAGTCTTTGGGCTGAGTTGGCTGCCAATCTAGAGCCATGGGTTAGTGATTTGTATCAGACTGGGGGGAGCCACATGCCCTGTCACAGAACTATCCCCCTGCTTGTATCCTCTAGCAAGCATGTCTTGATAACCCTGATTGCAGTTGGGTTCTCAAAATTAGCTTTGGGGTCTACTTCCTTTTATTCACATACTAGAAGTAAGATAACCTTTCTTTTACCACTTTACCAGGTCCTTCTGATACCTTAAACCATCTTTGCATGTGTTCAAGAGACCCAGCGTGAAGGGTGTAGGGACTGTGGCTCAGTGGAAGGGCCTCTGCTTTGCATACAAAAGGTCCCAGGTTCAGACTATGGCATCTCAGGTTAAAAGGATCAGGTAGTAGGTGATGGCCTGTACCTGAAACTTTGGAGAGCCTCTACCAGTCATCATAGACAGTACTGACCTTGATAGACCAGAAGTCTGAATCGATAACAGGCAGCTTAATATGTTCATGTAGCCTGAGACGTATAGGATTTAGTGCATTGAACCAAGCATCCTCAGTCATTCTGAGGATGACCAGTGGAGAAAGAAGGGACTGTGCATAAGTTGCATTCATTTGAGTGAATGGAAATCATGCCCCTATTCAGGTTTCACCAAAATGGGGTGTTCGGGAAGGATAGGGAGCTTGAGCTTTTCCTGTTGTCTTCCTGTATCCTGGACCTAGCGCCACTGTATCAGCACTTCTCATTCCTTGCAAACAATGTTTCATTGGTCCCTGATGGTCTGTGTAGCTGACGGGGATATGTTAAGGAGCAATGCAAGTTGGTGTGATACACACAGGTGTCTTTGAAAGAGAGTTGTTCTGGGGGGAAGTTGCTTTTTGTCATTCTCTGGAACACTTCCCATGCTCCCAGTTCAGTCCTCTCATTAAGGAGCAGATGAAGCTGCTTTCCAGGACCTTTCCCAGATTTTGAGTGCAAACATTTTATGGCTATGACTAGTGAGTATAGAAAGGCAGAATTTGAAGCAGTGTGGTGGGAGATTTTGAAAGAAATTAGCATGTACATTTCAATCTAGTTATTTATGTACCCCCTCCAATGTATACTGTTGTAACCAGATAGTATCCATAGGGCAGTTAGACTGCAGAAAAAAATGTCTTGATTTTTCAGGCTATGTATTGTTTAAGGCATACTAAGTGAGAGACTGGGAAGCCTATGAAAGAACGTGTACATACCCCCAACAGTAGCCAGAAGGCTCCCCAATTTGGATTGGAGGCGCCCCCCCCCCTAGGTTTTATGTGTATAAATGATAGGCAGCTGCTACAACTGAATTACACAGAACTTAACGAAACAGTAGAGTTCAGTTCTGGCAGTGGCTTTTAAATGCACGGTAACTGGTGCATTTCCTGTATTACAGAAAAATGCTGAGAAATGCATGCAGAAGCCTTACTGCAGCTGGGTTTGCTTATCAGCGAGTAGAAGGTCAATTCCCTCATACAGGTTGTTTAATGTATATAATTCAGCTGACTTGCTATTACCTTATATGTACTGAAACATATTATTGTTAAATAAAAATTAATTCTTATTGGAATTGCTCTTTTTCTTTCTAGTACCAAGGTGGAAATGGGTCAAGCCCAGTAAGAGGAATGCCTCCTGCAATCCGTTCTCCTCAAAACTCACATTCCGCCCCTTCTTCCGTAAGTTTGATCTGCTGAGGTCTTCATTGTTGCCATTCAGTAGAAAATTCCTCTGCTCTTCAAAGCTAACTTTCCAGAAGTTATGGGTGTTTCGATGGCTGTGTGTCACAACAAAATAAGAGTCAGTTATACATCTGTTTTTCTGTCTGTAAGTGCTGGGAATGTGCTTGCACAGAAAACTCCAGTTCAGGGCATTGCTTCAGGGGTGTTCCATTTTTATCTTTGAGCAGGTCGATAGCCAGAAATCTTGTGGGGGAATGTTATTTGAAGGTAATACTAAAAAAAGAAACAGTTAACGACAAGCGGAAAATGTTAGAAATTATTACCAGATTATTGCGTATTTTAAAAAAATTGACTGTAGTCCAGTAGTTAACTCCATGTTTCTTATTGAAACTGCTTTACCAGTTTAGCATAGAGACACTCTCAAAAATGCTTCAGAATAGTAACCTAGTTCTTAATTTCCCATAGCTGTAACTTGTTGTCATCTTTGTGAGAGTGCCTTTGTATGGAAAAATACTTTGAAGCTGAAACCATCATTTAACAATTTCCCACAAAGGCTTCCATAACATCTTGTATGTAGCACTCTTTGTGGTAGTAGAAACTCATAGTGGCAGATCGTCACTGACATGGAATGATACCAGTATAGAAGAAAGTCACTGCAGCCAGAGTTGCCCTTGCTTAACAAGCAAAATTCTCATTTTATTGAAATCAACAAGAAAGATAGTGCAGTGTCTTTAATATGTAGCCTTAATACTGTAGAGTGAAGAACAATTTGGTTTCCAATTGCTGGTTCTCGTTGTATCCAGTAGAGAGGTGGCCTCCTTTACTCATGAGGAGGCACAAGGATGTTAGAAGAGCCAGACTCTGAACAGACTCTTTTTCTTATTTAGAGCAGTTTCATAAATTTGTCTTTAACCTTATTGTCTTCAGAGTTGTCCAGTGAAAATTCAAATACTGTTTCTTATCTGCCTGTTTTAGGTTCGGCAGAATACTCCTTCTCCTACTGCACTATCTTTTGGGGACCACCTTGTTACCCAACCAAAGCAGATGTCATTTAAAATTACTCAGGTAAACACTTAGTTCTGTATTCGGTGCGAAAAATACATGGGATTCTTTATTCTTCTCCCCCTTCCCTTTTAGGTTTGGAAGTAGTGCTTAGAAAGGGTGGCAGGTGCTTAAAGCTGAAGTATCTGTTGTATTGAAGGATTGTTAAAACAAATAGCAAGAGACGAAACAATGGCTTGCATCTTATTATAACTACTTCTAACGTAGGTTACCCATGTGATCTTTTTAAAAAAGAAATGTTGACAGAAACTTCAAACCAAGTGCTTTGGGATTTTCAGTTGTCATGATCTTAAAAGTTGAAGCTGAAAGTGAAATCTTCAGCTCAAGCAATGGAAGAAATGGGAGGATACAGATCATTTATAATCAGAGCTGTGTATACTCTACAGTACTAAAAAGAAGAAAATTAAAACTATATGCCTAGAAAAGTTGAGTTGTGTTATCAGTATAACACAGGCAAATGTAGCAAATTTGCATATTCTTACTTCACAGAATTCTGCCGTTTTCCCATAATCTGTTCTAGCTCTACTTCCCATTGGAGAGGCAAGAACACTGAAGTCCTTCCCCTAATAACTGAAATGTACTTAGCCACATTTCTAGGCATTGTCTGCATTCTTTCAAGCATATTTTCCAAATGTAAGAATAGAAATCTGACTACTTTTTTTAAAAAAGGGAAGGTGCAAATTTGTAGCTGAGTTCTATGCCCACTACCATGTTCTGTGATTTTTTTTTAAAAAAGTACTTTCACAGATGCACAGAACCCTGATTATAGTTAAAGTAACAATACTTGTTTCAGGATTTGCAGATATTTGAGGTTAGTGAAAATCTTATCCTGGATCTTCTGATCAGTACAGTCCTCTTACTGTCTAATTTTTGATAGTTTCCAAGTTAGACCTTGAATGGGCTTTCTTGCTGCTGAGCAGTTAATGGGTCCTTAGCTTGGTTCCTCAGTTGATTCCAGGCAGGCTAGTGACCAAAGTCTCCAATCAGGTTACTTAAAGAAGAATTGTTGTTTGTTGGTGCCTCCCCTGCGTCTGCTTCCCTTTGAACCTGAGAGGCTCTCAAATCAAAGGAAAGTGGTGGGTGGAAATTCAAACACAAAGAGAGATTCACTGCTGTTACTACCCTTGGGCCATAGAAGGGGGAGATAGCCGTATGAATCATTCTTCACTGCCTTTCTGTTTTCATGTTGTTATTTTCAGAATGTGTAGCTCATAAGTTGAAAGGCTCGTAAGTCCTGGGCCCTAATGCAGTGGTCTAGTCCCAGCGCTCTCTTGAGCCATACTTGCAGCCACTGCAGCACAATCCTTTGTTACAGCTAAGAGTTCTGTATTGTGGTCACTTCCTCCATCCAAGGAAGGGAAGAGCTGGGAGCTGCCTCTTGTGTGCTTTACTTAGGGGACAGTTGGTCTTTATAACATGCAAACAGGCCATTTGACAAATTACAAGGACACCTTATGATGGAACTAACCACGTTGTGTTTGCTAAATTTGTTTGCATTTCCCACCATTTTTTATGTAGACTGATCTCACAATGCTGAAATTAACCGCACTTGAAAGTAATAAAAATCAAGACTTGGAAAAGAAGGAAGGTCGTATAGATGATTTGCTCAGGGTAAGTATGATGATGGTAAGATTAAGATATTGGGTATCAAATTTATGAAGGCATGGAGCCAATTAGGATGGCAAATAAGTCTTTTGTTACTCCATTTGTCTGAAGATGCCAAGATTATGCATGGCATACAGTGTGCATGATTTTTCTCTTACCTTGTATCTTCCAAATTATTTTTTTCACCTTGTATGCTGAAGTCCTTTTTTCTTCTCTAGGCTAATAATTTTTCCTTTGTGGACAGATCTAATGCTTTTAGAATCATGTGAGGGTAAATGTTCTCGTTCGCATTTGTGTATGGAATTTGTTTGGTGTATACACTGATTAGTTTTCTTTAATTCTTAGGCTAACTGTGATCTACGACGACAAATAGATGAACAACAAAAGCTACTTGAAAAATACAAAGAAAGGTTAAACAAATGCATTTCAATGAGCAAGAAACTTCTGATTGAAAAGGTAAGTTGCATTTACGGTGAAAGAATGTTTGGATTATATTTAGCTGCAAAGGCAGACACTAAAACTTACTTATTGGATCACACCAAGTGGGAAAAGAGCCTTCTGGGACAGCTTTGAATGTTATTGCTCAATCCACTATCTTTGGATTCTCTGCACTGCAATAATGCTACAGTAATATATGCAGGCTGCAGTCATATGGGCAGGGCCAGTTGGGTGGGTCTGTTCTGTACTGTTGCCTCCTTCCTGGAATGCAGCCATGGAAAGGAGGCTCCTATGCTGTTGTGACACTATGTGAATGGACCCTAGGACAGCTTTCTTTGTGCAGTATTTAAATGCAGGAGTGAGCCCTGCAATTACATTCCAGTGCTAGCGCGCGAGAGCCTATCCTAGTTTCTCAACCTTTCCTTTGAAGGGTATTTTAGTGTTATAATACATTGCAGAATGTGCTTAATTGAAAAGTGTATTTTTAAAAGCTGGGAGAGTTTCTAGGGTAAGCATACAATTTGCTGCCCCTTTTCCTCCTGAGAGCAACCAAAACTGTACACAGCATAAAGTGTCTTAGAAGCAGGAGGCTTTCATAAAGAATTTAAGGAGTTACAGCTTTCAGCTGTGTCGCTTGTCACTGTCGATGTCGTAAGACACTAACGAATAGGTGGCTGTGATATTTGAGCAGTACTTGCAATCTCAGCTGATGCGCTAAATGGTGGTGGTGGGGAGTGCTGATTCCAGGGATGAGAGAGTTTAAATAAAGAGCTCTGGGTCCCGCACAGCCAGTAAGTAAGAGCTATCCACTAAGCATGCTTAGGCTCTTGAAAAGGCTTTCCCCCTAACTAATAATATTTTGGGTTTTTAGAGCACACAAGAAAAACTGTCAAGCAGAGAGAAGAGTATGCAAGACAGATTACGCCTCGGGCATTTTACAACTGTTCGACATGGTGCTTCGTTTACTGAACAGTGGACAGATGGCTTTGCATTTCAGAATCTTGTGAAGTTAGTCAATGTTATGGTTTTTTAAAATTGATAGTAATTACCGGTCCCTGCAGCGGGGGTTTAAATTAGTTAAAATGGCAAGCCTTAGGATTAGTTTTTCATACCTGTGCTCTTTGAAACTTCAGAATACAGTACGGAGCTTTTCTTAATCAGTGGAGAATGATGAATTGCTTAAGTTTGGTAACTTTGAATGCAAGCAGATGAATGATTCTCATAAAGCCTTTTTAAAAAACTAGGAGACATACTAAACAAGCTCTCTACAGATGGAAAAAAGTTTCAGTCTGAATCATGGATTCTCAAACTATGGCCTCTGGGCTGTTGCTCTGTAAAGAGCTTGCAGGCTGTATAACTGCAATGTAGTGACTTCTTCAGGCGTTCATATTGGAGCGGCAAGGAAGAACAAACCTAGGTGACTAGTGGGGTTCTGCTAGCATAAAGTGGAAGGGAGAGCAGTCACCAGAGGAAAACAGCTGCCACGACTAGGTTTCTCTGCAAAGGCAGGGAGAAGGGGGAAGAGGCTGGAGAGACATTCTGCTATCTGAGGAGTGGGGTGGGAGTGAGGGGAATAATGTGTGTCTTTGAATGCCTGACTTGAATATGTCATGTTGATCAACTTACAGAAGAATATTTTACACGTGATGTTCTCGGTTTGCAGGCAACAGGAATGGGTGAATCAACAAAGGGAAGATATTGAAAGGCAAAGGAAACTTTTGGCGAAGCGAAAACCTCCACCGACAAATAATTCACAGGCCCCCTCTGCCAATTCAGAGTCTAAACAGAGGAAAAACAAAGCAGTCAACGGAGCAGAAAACGATCCATTTGTTAGACCCAATTTACCACAACTGTAAGTTTGGACAAGTTTGTCCCGTCTTTATAGGTTAACAGTCAAAATGCTTGTCATGATGATGATGTATTAGAATAATCAATGTGTAGCTATTAATTTATATGAGAGAATCTAAATAACCATACAAAGGGAATGAATGGGATGGAATCTCTTTCTCCCCTGTCTCTAATGTTGTGGATTGGGGAATATAGGTTTGCTCCTGCTCCAACTATCTTGTTAAATGTTTAGCTCATCCCAGGGAGCTCAGAAAGAGTTTGGGGGAACATGCATCATGGATTATTTTATAATACATTAGTTTTTGTTGCACTCTGAAGTTAGTAAGACATACAGATCTTCCCAAAACCCAAAAGTTACATATCAAATCTGTACTTACTAAACCCAGACTTTGAATTAAGCAGGCCTGTACCAGCATCAGTACATGTTTCAATGGTCGATTTTTAAAAATTTGTCTAGTAGTATAGCTATACAACAAAAGTCACTGTGCACTTTTTCATCTAAGGGTCACAGGAGGATTTATTTTGAGTTACCATTGAAATCATAACTGTATCTTCTACTGGTTGATTTTTAAAAAAATGTTGTTCTTCTTCCTGTTATAAAATATGGCCAACACTTTGCTCTATACTTAATGCTTATTTTCCATTAATATTCCAAGACCCAATATATCTCTTACTGTTGTGAACACTGGAAACTTTAAATGCTAGAACCTTATTTTATATGAAACATTAGTTGTATTTTAGTCCAATGGCAACAAGAAAAATAGGGCTTGTGTTCCTTTATTTGTCCCTGCCACTGTTTAGGGGAGGTGCCTATCAAGAACTATCAAAATAATCTTCAGTATTTGGTACATTTTGCTCCAGGATCTTGGCTATCCAGAAAGATTGGCATTCTGATGATTAGTAACGTGTTTTCTACAAGTCATATAGATATAAACTAGTTTTGCAACTTAATTGAAATAGTTTATTTATACCAACTTTTACAGGCTAACGTTAGCAGAGTATCATGAACAAGAAGAAATTTTCAAGCTTAGATTAGGACATCTCAAAAAGGTATGTTTTTGTTCCAAATTGTGTTTTCTATTTACCCAGTCACATTAACGTTTTTAAAAGTTATAGTCACAAGAGAAAACTGCGATGTATGTTGTTGCTTTGTTTCTATAGATTTGGTTTGATGCTTTATTCTGATAATTTTTGAATAGGATTATTTTGTGTAATTGGTCATTATGGTATATATGGTTCTGTTTTGTTATAATTAGGTTGGTTTGTATTATGCAGTATATGTATTTATAAAAAAGAAAATATTTATAAAATGTTAAATAAAAAACAGAGTGCTGTATAGAATGGTGATGTCTGAGCTGGATATTAGCAGGTACTGAAGGCGGATTACACAGTGCATAACAGTGTCATCAAATGGCATGAGACATCCAACAGTGCAATAGGACTAGGATTATAAAAATTAGAAACAAAGCAAAGAAAGCGTCAGGAATATGCAAAAAATGGGATTACAAAAATAGACAGTGAAGAACCATTAACAGTTTAATAGACTGCAGTCCTGTTATCGTTATAAAAACACCCTCCTGAGACATTCTGTTATGCTACAGCCTTGTTGTTGAGGAATACTAGTGATGATTATTAGTAAGCGAAAAGGATAGCCTTTGTTCCAGACGATGATGAGCCTTTGCAGCAAGATGCACCTTGATTAATAGTCTAAAAGCCTTAGCGGCTCTGTATGTTCTGGGCTTGCCATTGTTTCTCAGATGACTTATAATACGATCAGACAGTGTTTCCCACTCTCTGCCTGTTCTTAGCCTTTGTTCTTCTGTGGCCTGAAAGCACATTTGTATGGGCCCTTACATGGGCATGAGTGGCAGAGATGAGATGGTCAACGGAGCTAAAATGAAAGGGAAGAGACTGGCCGCCAAAACTGAGTCTTGATAGCAGCATCTGTCTAGGGAGGCTTGAAATCTCCTGACATTCTAAAAAAAACCCAGAAAAATATACATCCATCAGATCACTTAAATTCAGGAGCCAAACAGTTTATTGAATGACAAACCTGTTCTGGGCTGTGTCACTTCAGACTGCAGTTACAGAGTCACAGGAGGCTTACTGGGAGACATCTCTTACCTGTTTTTCTCTGAGTGAGAATGAGTGCTCTACCCTGAATAGCATTAATGCTGCTCCACACTTCTTGTATTAATGGTACAATCCAGAAACTGTTTTACCATGTGGTGAGCTATTGGTCTAGAGTATACCATGCACATACTACAAATCCATCACAGTCACCTAACCAAAAAGGCAAAAATGTAGTCTTTGACCATGCAGAGTGTATAGGGGTAGTATTGTATAACCGTAGGATATTCACATAGTGCTTCTGGCATCTCCTGTGGAAAGTTCATCTGAATCATTTTGCATCGTGTTATGCAGTGGAGAGTAATCAAACTTTTATGTGGCATTTTAAACCATAATTCTATATCAACATTCATGGGAGAGGCATTTACTCTGTGCAGTAGTGTTAACACTGTATTCTGCAGTGTTTTCAATTACATTATAAAATTTGAGTACTTTGTAAATGAGAAACACATAACTAAACTATGTACATAATGCTCTGACACTTTTTTTTTAATTAGTAAAGGTAATTTTTATTGCATGAATAAGGCAAGCTCAATTTACCAGTTATTCCATACTACTGCTCCCTTGAGCACTGAAGATTGTAGTTGTAAAGCAGTGCATTATGTTCCTGTAGTGGAATATTCTTCAGGAAAGAATGATTGCCAACAGTCTCTCGTTTTATGCTCATTCAGCTCTCTTAGAGACAATGACTGAATGCGAAAGATAGGATCAGATCCCTTTGGATTAGATCCCTGAAACTGTGAGTGAAAGGAAAGGAAAATAGCCACTAGTTGTTCAGCAAGAGGGTGTCCTAACCTGAAAGTCACAGTTTTTCAACAAAAGTACTTCAAAAGAAGACAGTAGTGTGAAATTGCTGAATTAAAATTCCTAAGCAAGCTAAGTAAAAATATTCTTACTTAGGAATCCTAGTTCAGAAATTTTACATTGGACTCTGCTGTTAGGCCTCAGTTGGGATGGACAGTGGTTTCCTTTCACAGAACAGGTATCAAATTAGCCCAAAAGTGTTGGAAGACTTATCATCTATTATGGCTGTTGTAAATGGTCACTCTGTTCATCTTGTATACATTTGAGCTTTGTGTAGCAATGTCAGACTGTACCTCTAACAGTTTTTCCTCTCTTGTCTGATGAAGTGAGCTCCAGGCCATGAAAGTACACGAGAGTGTGTGTTCTGTAACAGACTAACAAGGCTATTCCTGTGGAATTCATGATGGAAAAGTTAGAATCTGTTATAGAGCTACTGTATAAATCAGTTAAAACATTAAAAGTAAAGCATTAAGAGTTCATTTCTGTTAGCTTGCCATGTTGAATACGTATGTAGAACCATCAAGCTAATGCGGGTTTTTGATTAGTTATTCATCTGGTCATTGCTAAGGAACTATACATTGTGTGTGTACATATATATAATGTAGTCTTCTTTGTAGTGATGTATATAAATATATACACAGGGGCATATATTGGCCATTCTGTTTTCATTTTTATTTGCTTCGCTGAGCTAATAACGTTTTTGTTACATGCTAAGAGAAATATGCTTCAGCCATATGGTATATTAAATACATAGCTTAGGCTATCATGAATAATTATGCTTTTCTGTGGTTCTACCTCTGAAGTGTGTACAAACTAATACTACAGCTAGAGCTGTCATAGGCACTGTGCTGTCAAAGCACTTCCCAAGGAATATTTTACTTAGTTTAAGCATGAAATCAGCTGCCTTTTTAGTTCCTGCAGTATATATACAGGGAAGATGTGGAATGTAATATTTCTTGAATTAGGTGCATATATCTCACAAATGGTTCCATTTCTCAGATGTGCTGTCATTGTCACTGCTGTTGAGGCATCAGTTAAACACTCTTTGCAGAAGTTGAGTGGAAACGAACATAAACTGAGCTTTCATAGTTGATTTTTTTCTCTTACTTGCAGGAGGAAGCTGAAATACAAGCAGAACTTGAACGTTTGGAAAGAGTTAGAAATCTTCACATACGAGAGCTCAAAAGAATAAACAATGAAGACAATTCACAGTATGACACCAGGATTCTAATCTTGCACGCATATGTATAGATGTATTCTTTCATACTTCGTTGTGACCTTCAGGATGCATGCAGTATGGAAAAAAAACCACAGCTTACCATAGCTGTCATAACCTCTTTAGTTTTATGTATATATGTTTACCTTAAAGTAGGCTAATATAATTTTACTTTACATTACTGCTGGAGATTCCAGAATAATTAAAATGTTTTAAAATGCATTACAGTGCCTTTATCTTAAAATATAAGCAGGATCAGTGGTGCTAATATAAAGAAGGCCTTTCAACATTAAGAAATTACTCTAGTGGATTTGGAATGGTAAACCAAACAACAGCTGTTTTATATTTAATAAATCCCGTGTTTTACATGGAATTAAGTTTGCATATATATGTGTATTACCTCAGTTCATTTATTTAAATTTATAATGGGCTGTACCTTGGTTTACTGTATAGCATATGTATAACATGTGTGTGCTTAAAAATATATAAGAGTTCACAATTCAACAGTCTTAATTTAATGTGGGTTGCATACATGATGCCTTAATACATATTTTTAAAAAGCTTAATATTGATCAGATGAGACCTGTGGAACTGAATGTAATCCCCCTTTTGTTGATTGGCTCAGTTGTATCTTCCTGTAGAAGGGCTATCTGTGTGCATGTATACTGTCAGATGGTGGCTCTAGATAGCATGCAAGGAAAGTTGAGCATGGAACAACAAAGAAGTGCTTATGTCCCACACTTATTTCAGTAGCATTTACATGTGTCTGATTTTTATCTCAATGACACTTGTATATAATATTACACTGGCTGGGTTCAGATGCAACACCAAACAAGGGCTTGGGATGACCTGAATGAGCCTATCAGCAGCCTTGGGCTTGCACACCTCTTTCCTCTCTTTGTGTGCTAGTCTCCAGCAAACTGTCAGCTGGGGAGCTATGGTTTGTCACTTGCCATGCGTGTCAGAATGGCCACGTGCTTGAATTGGGAGCAAAGGAGTCACCCTATGCAAGTGGGAGGAGGGAACGTGCTGGCCTGATATTTCCTTCCAAGTTCGTTTTCAAATAAGCTTTTGGTTTCCTTCTAAGTAAGAAGTTAGTAATTGTACCTGAAAAATACCATTACTACTCAAGTATCTTTCATCACATTGTGAAAATCGGGTAGTGTTATTTCTCAGTGATCAGAACTACTGCTTTCTTCTTTTTTTTTTAAGGTTCAAGGATCACCCTACGTTAAATGAGCGGTATTTGTTACTTCATTTACTTGGTCGAGGTGGCTTTAGTGAAGTATATAAGGTAATGTCTCTTTTTGGATTAATTTTTAAATTTTCATTTGAAATTAAACTTTGTAGACTTCCAGTATGGCTCCATAGAGTATTCAGTGGTTAATATCATCAATTTAAAATAACGCTATCAACTTAAAATGCAAAAATAAAAGTTCTTAACTACAAATTAACAGCAGTAAAGCAAAACTCCAAACTGGTGGATGTGTCTTCTGATACAGTGCACATGATTATTTAAAAACTGCTTTATCTTTATGACTATTGTGTGATCATTCGTAAACAGATTTAATTGGTCAGCTAACATTCATATGGTTCATTTATTATAATTCCTTTGAGAACTCTAATTATATAATTGTGTGTGTACATATACGCACGTGGAGTGGGCTTGAGCTAGTCCACCTTGAGCACCAGCTTCCCAAGATGTTCCTTGTTGTTACATTTTTATGCGGAGAGAGGAGTGGGGCAAAAGTATGGGAGTTCAACAACTGCTTCCATTTCATTATGCACAGTCGTGAGTAGGGGGTGTGTCAAAATAGCTTATAAAGCAGATGGCAATGCTGTATGGTACTGGCCACTGAAGTAAGCAGAAACAATATAACTTTGCATGATTAGGCAGACAAGCTCTCCTGAGTTTGCTGAAATGACTTATGTATAGTACAAAGGCTGCCAAAAAGCACCTGAAAGGTTACATAAGATTTTTTTTTTTACTACTGGATTGTAAAGTTGTGTATTGTATGCTGTATCTCTCAAGCTATAAAGTACTATTTAAGTTTTGCTCATAAGGGTATGAAGTATGCCTTCTATATAAAAAAGACAGCTGTAATGAATTTATCGCATGAGGCATGTTTTTAACCATTTAAGAACAATTAACAGTCTATAATTACTACTCTCACCCAATGTGTATTCTAGGCTTTTGATCTCTATGAACAAAGATATGCTGCTGTGAAGATACACCAGCTCAACAAAAGCTGGAGGGATGAGAAGAAGGAAAACTACCATAAGTACGTTTTTAAACACCTTTTTGTTATTGTGGTAAGTGAAAACAGTATTTTTGTGGGGTTCATGGTTAGTTCTCTCTCTTTCAGGCATGCTTGCAGAGAGTATAGAATACACAAAGAGCTGGATCATCCAAGGATAGTAAAACTCTATGACTACTTCTCCTTGGATACAGATACGTAAGTATACAAAATGAAGTATTTTTGTTGAAGAGGAGTCAAAATAACTTCAGGAAAGAGTATAACTTACATTTGTGGTGTTTAGCCTTACTGCCCAATATGTTGTATAATTCAGATTTTCTGAATGCAGGGAGTTCTATATTGTTTAGGTTTTTCAAAAGACTTTGCTTTTGTAACAGTGAATACCTGCATTGAAAAGAATATTGTATGAAGATGAATGTTCAAATTTCCCTTGTATAATTAGATGGCCTGTGTTTTTTTGCCTAACTTCTGTTTTTCTCCCCCTTCTCTCCTTTAGGTTTTGTACAGTATTAGAATATTGTGAAGGCAATGACCTGGATTTCTATCTCAAGCAACATAAATTAATGTCAGAGAAAGAAGCAAGGTCCATTGTAATGCAAATAGTAAATGCACTGCGGTATCTCAATGAGATTAAGCCACCTATAATACACTATGATCTTAAACCAGGTAAATTAGAACTACTGGAAAACATTGTAACACTAGGCATTGTATAGCATCTCTGAAAAATGCTCTCCATTATCACCAATGAGGCAGCAGCCTCTGCTCCCTCTCTTCCCCCTTTTGTCAAATCCATTGGATGTCACATTGTTTTGATTTTCCTTTATACTGTGGGTTGTTTTAACACAGGAAGGGTTGTTTAATATCCATTTAGGGGAGGAAAGGGTCTCCTTTCCTGCTAATCCCTTCCCCATGTAATTGCAAATAAATGTTTTGGGATTACTTAGTTTAATCAGTCTTTTCACTTACCACTCTCTCCTTTTATGTCCTCATAAATAAATTCTTCCATTTTCTCTTTGAAGATTCATTTATACTCCTTTCTGTTTACTTCTTATGTACTCTGTTTTATTTAAGGTGTTTTTCGTTTGTTTCTAAATTTATTTACTGCCTTGATGTCTTCCATATTTCTTGACACATTCAACTGCGGTAGATTTTCTTGTGTGCCAAGCCAGTGAAACAATAGCTATAAAAATATTTTTAAAGGGGGGGGGGGCTTAAAGTAGGATTAAAAAGTTTAGTCATCTTTGACTGTGGGCTCCAGTTCACTACCAAAGTATGCCCCAAATCATCTGGAGCATTTGACATGTGAACAGATTTCTATTAATAAAATGTTTATTCCTTTCTGCTGTGCACTGGACAATGAGCCCAAAATACCAAGTGCATGATTCATCTACTTCACACCAGAAACTGTTCATTGATCAGTTTTGCTGTTTGAGATGCAGAAATGCTGTAGAATTTTTGATGCTGTTGTTCTTATATAGGCTATTTCTTCACTCTGGTTCAGAATGAAAGAGCTACCAAAACTGTTTCAGAAACTAGTTTTTAGCCAGGGTAAAAAGAATGGCATTGTTGCAATATTAAAATAAATCAATAATGATTTGGAGCATCTGTGCAGTAAAGATGTAAGTCACTAACTACATGGTAGACAACTTTTGGAATTTGCAGATACGAAGTATGTTATAGCTACCTTCTCTCACTGGATGACATTTGAACTTCTGTTAAATCGTCCTCTTCTAAGTGAAGTGTAAAGACTGTTTACCATTGTTGGGCTGGATTTGCCTTTTTGATGAGCTCTCTTCTTCTGGGTAGGAAACATTCTTTTGGTAGATGGAACAGCATGTGGAGAAATAAAAATCACAGACTTTGGCCTGTCCAAAATAATGGATGATGATAGCTATGGTGTGGATGGAATGGACTTAACTTCCCAAGGGGCTGGCACTTACTGGTAAGTTTACTATGTTGCCTTTTACAAATTGATTCTTGTATGAAAACTACTTGTATATGCTTGCCAACTGTTGTAATGGATGAAAAGCATTTGTTCTTATTTTTAGCAAAAAGGGGAATTTACAAAAATTCTCCTGTCCTCCCACTTGCACACTTTTGCATGAGCTTTACTCTGTAGAAAAACTCATGCAAGTCTGGACAGGGCCTCTTTCTGCTGATTTCCACTGATTTATTTAGCCATTTGTGTGTCATTGAGGAGTAAGGCTCCTGGACTTAGCGGAGGGGAGTGGGCACAGTATGGCGCAGGCAGGGACCGGGACGCATGGAACTGGAGGTGCCTCTCCCCATCACCACAGCAGCCTGCCATGCTGGACCTTCTAGGCAGACTTCTGAAGCATTGGCTCCAGCGACAATGATGGGCAGCACTTGGAACGCGGTGACTGCTCAGGCAGACCAGTGGGAACGTGTTCTCTGTCTGGTCCTACTGGCCTCCTTTTAGCCAAGCCCTGCCACGGAGCCCAAAGTCAATTGTCTTGGCTTCCCCATCCTTCCTCCTTTCATTTGTGGGTATTCAGGTGTGCTTTTTTCGTTGCGCGAGCTGTACATTTTCATCACAACTTTATGGTGGGTGGTTTGTGCATGGGGCCAGATCCATTTGCGGGGGGGGGGGCAGTGTCTGTCTCCCACCCCACTTTGGGGATCCCCTTAAGGGGTCTTGGGGTGGGAGACATCAGGGGTGTGCCTTGCTCAGGGGTTGTCATCCAGCTTCATTCCCAGGTGGCAGGAACCAAGCAGTGGCTTGCACCCATGTGGGATCCAAAGATCAGCCATCCTATGGAGTTTCACTCAGCAGGTGGGATTGTGAGGGTTGCCATCAGACAGCTGGCTGGTTGTCCAATGTGTGGATCCCTGCCCTGTGGCTCACCAATGCTCCAGTGGCTGTAATCAATAAAGTTGTGGCCATAGTTTACTTCATTGTGGTGTTCTCCCTTTGCCACTTCCCATCTCCCCTCTTGCCCCAGGTCCATAATACTCTGCCCTCATGAGGAACAGTTCTTAGAATCCAGGCTATAGTCTTGGTGTTTTCTCCCAATTCCACCAGCTACGCTGATTTTGTTCGTTCTTTGCAACAATATGTTTGAAATGGAAATGTATGTTCGACTTCTGTGCAGTTTCCTTGTAGTTATGCCTGCACTCAACCCCCGTCAAAGACATCTATCTGTCTACTACAGGAGAAGGAATTTTGTTAGGGTGCCTCTTTATAGTGACTTGTATTTTATTTCTTGTCTTTTTGTAGGTATTTGCCTCCAGAGTGTTTTGTTGTAGGAAAAAAGAGCCACCAAAGATTTCTAACAAGGTGGATGTGTGGTCAGTTGGTGTGATCTTTTTCCAGTGTCTATATGGCCGAAAGGTAAAAACAAACTCTTAGAAAATTCCTTTGTTGAGTGAATATAGCAGGTCAGCTTTTGCTTATGTTTCCCAGCATTTCGGAACATTTTTTTTTTAAATAGTATGATTTGAGCGTAAGGAAATAGTCCACTGATTTGGGGTATTGCTACTGTTTGTGTCATGAAATACAGATGCTTTGTTTTGTTTTCCTCCAGCCATTTGGCCATAACCAATCCCAACAAGATATCCTTCAGGAAAATACAATACTAAAAGCCACTGAAGTACAATTCCCAGTGAAGCCTGTTGTGAGCAATGAAGCCAAGGTAATGTTTGTGAACTCAAGCTATACATTCTGGTGGAACCCATTGTAACTACCTCTTGATGTATTGCTTTTTAAGGGTAAAAGTCAAGGAACTCCCATATATATCTATAAAAAAAGAGATAGTCCTGAGCACAAAATATAAACAAGCTTATAACAACATTAGGAATTAATTATTGACAAGTTACCTTTAAGTACAAAACAAATTAAAAATAAATATTAAAAGTAAATGTTTCCAATTTTTGTAGTTCAAAATTCCTGGGGAAATTTGCAGTTTCTTTTATTTGCATTTTGAAGTACTGTTCTCGTAGGAAACTAATTAGAGGTAACTATTTACCTGTGAAAATATTTTGAGATACAATGTGCCATATTGGAGCATCTCACCCACCAGTTCCAGGTTCTTTGATATTCTAGTGGAGATGTGAGGGCCCGGGGGTGGGGTGGAATGCATTTTCCCCTTGAGGCTTTGTTTTTCAAATTTTTCCAGTGAAAAAACTGAAAAATTTGGGGAAGCACTGGAAAGCAACTCCTGTGAAATATTTCCTTTTACAATGGGTAAAATGCTGCTTCAGGCAAGGTTTTTCACACTAAAAATGTATAGCATGAAAAAGTCTGAATATTTTTTCAGTTTTTGCAATGGAAAGATTGCAGAATTTGGGGGAGCACTGAAAAATATTTCTAGGGAATATTTTCTCTTTTTGAATAAGAAACTTATAACATTTTTCACTCATTCCAAATGTAGAAAATTGAGGAGTTCCTCAGATTTGTTTTTTTCAAATAGGAAAACAGAAATTTTGATGAGTGCTGGGGGGAAACAAACTCTTGTAGCCGTATCTACAGTATTTTCAAGATTTTTTATTTAAATGTAAATAATTTTGGCAAGAGTTAATGTACTATTATGTGTTTAATGATAGTACATTATCAAAGAGTTTAGTGTTTTCAGTGTTATAGAGTTTAGCTTAATATCCAGGCATGCTGACAGTCCTGCCTGTTGTGACTCTGTGAGTTTCCATCAAAATAATATACTTCCTTCTATTTTCTGTCTTCAACTCAAATGGCAAAAACCACCGTGCAGTTTGTAAAAACTCTTTCAAGTATTGGGTATATTACAGAAAATGAAGATATTTCTACTTCTAAATTCTCTAAATATACCAAATAGTACAATTTTATATGCTGACTAAGTTTAAGTTTGATGGGAAAGTAAATATATCACATGTTTTGTTTTTCCACAAAATTTCTGTTCCCCTCCTCATATGTTGTTTTTCTGTGGCTTCAAAATTTCCAGAAATTTCACATCTCTACGTTCCAGTAGGGCTTTAAAAAAAAGAAAAAAGGATACACCCTTTATTTCATCATTTTAGTGCTTTCCTCTGTACAGCATCCTAAAAGTGATTTAAATCTGTTTCTAATGTACCATTATGTTTCCACTGATGTCACCCATTTTTAATGCATACTGCTTAGAAGGGATGATTGCAGCTGTGGACCGGTGTAGACGTAATGAAGGGGCTTGTTTTGTAACCACAGTGGATCGATGGGAGACGGGATTGGGAGCGAATTCTTCCTGCCCTTGCCCTTCTGAGCCTTAACAGCAGTTAGTAGTAACCAAGGCTCCTTCTTATCTTGGGTTTAAATCAGGCCTTATATCTATGTTTAGAAGTGTGCCATGGTCAGAGTTATATGTAGTGTGTGCGTGTGCAGTGCTGAACTAGTCTCGTTCTGCAAGAGGAAATATTCTCTCCAGAGGTGGAAATATTTGGGGGGAGCACATGGTTCACTCCCAATCTCTTCACCACAATTAAAAGAGCCTGTTGGTTACATCTGCACTGTCTCTTTATGCCATCTAATAACTTGTTCTCATGAAAACGTAATCCTGAATCCTGTGTATTCTGCTCATGCAAAATTTCCCATTTTTATTCCCCAGTATGCTGCAGGCCCCCTGTTTCTGAGGGTCCACTGAGGATCCCCCCCGAAGCAGGATTTTGGAGAACATAGTGGCTACAGCAGAAAGGGGGGCGGGGATAGAAAAACTCAATTTTATGCATAAGATCCAACCCTGTCATTCATTGTGAGCTGCTCATGGAAATAGCATATGGGTGGGGGGGGGGGAAAGACTGTAGACCACTGTGCTGTTGCTTGCAGTCCCTCACTTGTTTAAGCATCTACTCAGATATCTTAATCTGGAAGAGGACTAAGAAAGAAAGGTGGAATTTGCATAGATAATGAACAAAGGGCCTAGCCCCACTCCTTTCTGATCAGCAAGACAGGCTACATTTTCAGGTTGCCTACTACTGAAGCGCACTCCGACCTGGATAGCCCATGCTAGTCTGATCACAGACGTTAAGCAAGGTCAGCCCTGGCTAGTATTTGGATGGGAGATCAAGGAAGTCCAGGGTCATGACCCAGAGGCAGACGCTGGCAAAACACCTCCGAACATCTCTTGCCTTGAAAACCCCACGGGGGTCACCATAAGTCAGCTGTGACTTGACGGTACTTTCCACCACTATTGAAGCATTCATTAGTTAGTGCTCTCACAGTACGGTGATTTAAAAGTAGCAGTGGAGATTTTCTGTTCAGTCTCCACCCAAGGTAAGCAGGTTCTGTGCGCTTGGCAAGGCTGGGCTTGCGCCTCACTTCTGGGCTTGGATTAAAAATCCGTGCTGCTCAAGATTCTCATTCCGTTTCCTCTGGGTGTCGTATCACTCCCCTTTGCCCATTCCAGTGGTTTGCTTTCTCAATTCTTGACAAAATTCCAAATTGGTTGCATTCCAAATATTGAAGTCGGCATTTATTATGTTAATTTTAAGTTCACGTAATTTATTCTAACGGCAAAAAATTGGGGCCGTTGCCAGTTCAGAGTATATAATACTAGTCCTCCTTGGATGTAGTGTAAACGGTATGCCGAACCAAGAAAATACGAAATCTGCGCCAAAAAAATGTGCCATTAAATTACATGGTCATGAAGTTACACTAATAATGAATTGCTGGGCCAATAAATGCTTGTTTCTAACTGTGGTGTTGAAAGTAATGTAGCCTGTAAGTACTGCAGAATGGTAAGTGCTCTATAAATGCTAAATTGTCAAAGTGCTTTATAAATATTCACAGTACTAAGAATCCTGTACGTTTGAGCGAAATGGATTGGGGGAAGAGCTGTAGCTGAGAATAGCCTAACAACATCCCGCAAGTTCAGCTCTGAGTTAAAATTTGAACCAGGGATTTCCAGCTGTTGATCACGGTGCTGTACCACCCAGGGTATAAGACTGCCCAGCGCTCGAGTGTGTATCCATAGCAGGATCCAGTGAACCACTTGAATATTTTTATTTTGGGAGTCTTATACAATTATTTCTACCAGAGAGGTGAATCATAAAGCAGAACTCATTCCCTGTGGAAAGGGTATACTGACCTCTGTTCCTTTCCCCGCAGGCCTTTATCAGGCGTTGCTTGGCGTACCGTAAAGAGGACCGGTTTGATGTCCATCAGCTGGCTAATGACGCTTACCTTCTCCCACACATGAGAAGATCAAATTCTTCAGGAAACCTGCATATGACTGGACTGGCAGCCTCTCCTACACCACCTATATCGAGCATTATTCCCTACTGAAACTTCTTCGCACAGAAGGCTTTTGCCGTGTGATACCCTTTGCAGTTTGCCAGAGTGGACTTCTGTTCAGAAACACCCGATTAGTGTTCTTACACAGCAGGACAAGTTTAACGATGGTGTTTCCATACTGTGGCAGTTCTGCATGAAGTCATTTCATGTGATGGGACTCTGGATCATGGTCTGTGAAATAAACGTCCCCTTCTGACTTTCATTTGAAAACATGGAAGGCCTGACTTTAGCTGCTGCCTCCCAGCAGACGTACTGCATTTTAAGACTGAAGATAAAGGTGTATGTTGAACTCGGGAGGAGGGGGAACACTGTAAATAATCTTTTTAATACTTTAAAACACATTTGGTTGATACTGGAGAGTTCTAATAAGGAGGGTAGTTTCATTATTTAAATAAAGGAGAAACGAAACAGAGCACAGAAGTACAACTTGGTGCCTCGACACAACAGCTAGACAACAGAATCTTTCTTCCCAAGAAGTCCATTGTTTCAAAAACAAAACACACCAAAAAACCAAAGTTACAGAAGAGTGCCACAGCTGTGTATGTTAATTTCTTTGGATAGCAGTGATTTAGTATTTTGATTTTAATTTGTTTGGGGGTGGGGTGGGGAAGGAATGCTTTAAAAACTGTTGGTTGGATGACTGTATTTCCAAAGGGGGTGGGAGGAAAAAAAATGGCTGTTCAGTGAGGTAGCAGAAACTAGCTTGGAACCTAGTTCAATTATTTAAATGGCATTGCAATACTTAGCAGTGTTGTGAACTGCTAACTGCTACCCAGGCTTTTGAGGAGGGATTTACAAAGGCTATGTACGTAACCAAAAGCAAGCAGGTAATGTTCAGTGTTTCTATGCAGGATTATGACAAATTCCCTTCTAACTCTATTGTAAATTGTTGTACAGATGTCATATTTTCAGTTCAAAAATTTCAGCAACCTTATTCCTGTACAAATGTTTAAAAGTATGGCTTTTTCTAATTGGATATTGTATTTTTTTTAAAGTCTCCTTGAAGGCGCTTTTAATTGCTGCTAAATGATGTTGCTTTTGCTTTTGCAAAACAGAAAATCCAATGACCTCCTTAAGGTGCAAGTCAACTGTACGTCCTAGAGAGACTGAAAGTAGATAATTCATTAACAATCAAGGCATGTAAAACCGATCTGTGTTGGAACTATAAAGTACAGTTCAAGTCAGTTTCCTGAGCTCTTGAGTGCTGGAGCACGTTGATACTAGATGTAGAAGTTGTTTATGGTTATTCTTAGTTTCTGGAAGTTCTGTCTACAAGGTGGGAAGATGTTCTTCTAAAGAGATGTTTCTTGTGGCTTGTACAGATATTTTAAAAATGTGAAACATTTTCTAACTGCCTTGTATGGTAGAAACCTTTTTTCAGAATGCAGTATCTCCCCCCCCCCACAAGATTCCTTTTACTGTCACATTCATAATGCTGAATTCCTGTACGTAATTTTGTCCATGTTGCAGAAAGGGAGGCTGTATTACCACAGGTTTTTTTTTTCCATTTAATATTGTACAGTTAAACTGTGGCTCTTGTTTCTGACGTTGCAAGCCATTTTGTTTTTGTTGTACATAAGGATTACATTAACTGTCTCTTTAAGATGCTGCTGAAATTGTAGAGAATGTAGCCAAAACAGTAATAAAATAATGACAGTTGGACTTTTTTAGTAGTTTTCATATAATTACTCTGGGGTATGAAGGAAGATGTTCCTAAAAGTTCATCAGTGTGAAGCCATTTATTATCATCCTAGCTATCTACATTTATCAGAAAATGTAATTCCAACATTAGACTATAGAATTTGGGAAGGAAGCTTGGAAACATGGACATATGACTCTGCCTTATCATGAATCAGACCATTGGTCCATCAGTATTGTTTACTCAGACTAGCAGTGGCTCTCCAGGGTCATAGGCAAAGGTCTTTCACATCATCCTCTACCTGGTCCTCTTAACTGGAGATGCCAGGGAATGAACCTGGGACCTTTTGCATGGAAAGCAGGTGCTGTATCACCACTGAGCCATGGCCCCTTCCCCAGTTTGGGTGAGTTGTGCTTCTGGTTTCCAAAACGGCAGTGATGTCTAAAGGCGACCTCATACATTTCACTTGCCACAAGATCTGTGAGCCTGAGAAGTAGTTGGGACTGTGTTTTCCATTCAAGTTAAATTACCAGGATTAAGGAGAGCTGTGTTAGATGGAGGGGGAATTTTCCTGCTGCTACCTCCTGCTTCAACCTGCTTTGTCCCCAAAATAGTGGCTCCCCCCAGGGTCAGTGGACTCCAGAAAGGAGCAAAGGAAGGTGAAGTTGTTGTCTTGAGTAGGAGGGGTAATTGCCAAAAATCATCCCCTTCTTCCACTTCTGCAGGCAGAAAAGGTTAGGAACCCAACCGTGCTTCACATACTGTTGCAGAAGAGGGTAAATCAGAGGTGGTGATCACTCATGCATCATTCCTTCCCTGGTGATAATGCTTTAAGCCTATAAAAGTGTTTTTAGTTCATCCTAAATTTAACTTTTGCAGATCCATAGTAGTGTATTCTACCTAGCATTTTTGTTACTCAGTGGTATACCTGTTCGCTATGCTTTTTTTACACTAGTAAATAAACATATCCCAATTTTCCTTCATTTTGTTGTGGGGGGAAATTAAACCTCAACAAAGAATGCTTGACCAACAAGATTTTGGGTGTATAAGAAATTTCAGATAGGATGAATTAAGGGTTTCCCCCCCTGTTATAGTATTAAATTAAATCCCCTTCTTTTCTTCCAAACATTTAACTGCCTTGAACCAGTGATTACCGTCATAAATAAGGCCATATTCTATCACCATCCTTGGAGAGATGGACATAAATTTAAATGAAATTTAGAGGAAATCTTGACTGAATCAGCTGTCTGGCCTTGATTAGGTGTAGTAACATGCTTTCCATTAGTCCAATGGACAGAATGTGACCTATAGACCCACAGCAAATCAACCAATCCCTATATATACATTTTCACAGCTGACCCATTTCTTAGTATGTGTTTGCAAATGGCAATGCTGTCTTGAGTTTCAATTTTTTCACCCTTTTCAAAAAATAAGTAGAACTATTCTTAATTAATAATATCTACCTGAATGAACAGTACAGCACAATACTACAGAAGTCTAGTCCTAACTGTGTTTCATCTTTGTGGCTTCTGTGCAAGCACACATGGGATTGTGCATACCAGGCCACCCGGGAGGAGGAATTTCTATGATTCTAGAACTTGATAAACTGCTGGGGCACTCTTCCCTCAGTCTTCACCATTGTGAGGAGAGGATTGTTCCTCTAAAGCTCTTTGTCTGTGACTCTGTGAGTTTGTTTTTTGTGCTATCCACCACTTCTCTTTTGTCTTGGGGTATTGAGATGGTGGTGTTTAAGAAATGTGCAGACTGCAGCACTAAAGTGGCCCAGTCCAATTAACGTCTGTCTTGTTCTGTTTGAGGGAATGGCAAACATTGTGATTTGTGAGTTCTGCCAACAGTTTACCCCCAAGGTGAGGCATGGGAGAAAGCACTAGGGGCCTAGACACCTCAGCCCCAAAAGCACCAGCCTCCCTCTCCCAGATGGGCCCAAACACCACATTGGTGTCAGTGCCCTCTTCTTTGGCCTGAGATCCAAGTGGCGACAGGTTCTGAAACCATCATTGACTTTGAGGGCTGTGTCAGAACCGCCCTCAAAAAAGTTCAAGAGGAAACACCTGTCACCTTGACATTGTTCATCTCTGCACCACTTTCTGGCCTCTCCATCGCCAGTGTGTGGCTTGCCTTCGCCTCCTTGACACCAGTCCTCGTCCCCGTCCCCCCCAATACCCAGTTGTCAGTTTCATCACTGTCAGCAGATCAGGAAGCAAGACCAAGCAAGAACACTCTCCCTGTTGCTGAGAGCTCCAGCGTCTCCACCATTGTTGGTCTTTGAGGTGCCTACTCCCCCTCTGGCGTACGTTCCTCCTCTCTCAAAGGCACCAGTGGTGTCAGTGCCAGATCCATCCTCGGCACAGCAGTTCCAGTGGGGTCTTCCCCAAGCTCCATGGGTCTCATGGTGCTTTCCCCCAGTGGGGTCATTGGGAACAGCAACCTTGACAACAACGGCTTCAGTGGAGTATGCCCGTGAACCATATTGGATCTGAGAGGCACCCCTCTGCTCCAGTGTCACTAGGAGTACAGTGCCTTACATCTGCCTCACTCCTTGAAAAGGATGGACACAAGTTGGATTCTCTGGGGAGGAAGATCTACACCTCTGGCACCATGGGCCTTTGAGTAGCCAACTTTATGGTGATTATGGGGAGGTACCAGATGTTCCTTGGAATGTGTGGCACAGTACCTGGACTTCCTCGCCAAAGACAAGATTGCTGGCTAAGGTTTTCCAGGCTGAGGGGAAACAACTGAATGCATCCCGCCACGCCCTCGACTGTTGAACCAAAGCCACAGCATCCAGCATGGCACTTTGACAACACTTTTGGCTTAGGGCCTCTGCTCTACCGGTAGACACCAGGGCGAATGTCAGAGACATTCCTTTCAAGGGGAAGGAGCTAGTCAGCAGCCAGATAGACAGCACCCTGGAAAGGATGTGCAAAAACACAAGCTCACTGAAAGGTCTTTGGGGATTACAGCAGCATCTTCCTCCTCAAGGAAACCAAGGTATTTCCCGAGACACTCCTAAACCAGTACTCTAGGCCCAACTATTACCAATCTGCATAGCAACAGCTCCAGTCATTTCGCCGTCATATCCTCAGCACCATCAAAGCATGAAGCAGCAGGGGAAGCACAGAGGGAAACCTCCGCCTAGCCCTACCTGGAAGCAGTCAAGTAGAGGGAAATTCTTCACATGACTAGCCAGTTCCTTAGCATTTGGCAATCGTTTACGACAGTTTGTTCATGGTTGGTGTTCTGTTACTAAAGATAGTCGGGTTCTATTTATAGTTCATCATGGCTATTTTTTTGAGTTTGAGTCCTCTCCCCACTTCACTTGCCTAACACCTCCCCTCCTGAGCCCCCTTCTCTGCTGAAATCTGAGGTGGAAGCCCTTCTTGAAAAAGGGGCAATTAGGGCGGTTCCACTGGCACATTGTATGCAAGGTTTCGTTTCTAGGTACTTCCTTATCAGGAAGAAAGGAGGGGGCTACAGCCCATTTTAGATTTATGGACCCCGCAATAAGTCATTAAGGGTGGCCAGAATAGTGTCTTTGCACAACATCTTTCCCCTTCTTGACCTGGACATGTGGTTCGCAGTCCTGGACTTTAAGGATGCCTATTTTCACATAGCAATTCATGAGCACTGCAGGAAGTTTCTCAGGTTTCAGTATGGAAACGCATGCTTTGAGTACCGTGTCTTGCCTTTTGGTCTGGCCACAGATCCCAGGGTCTTTACGAAATGTGTGTCAGTAGTCGTCTCCCACTTCAGAGTGAGAGGACGTGTAGTTTACCCTTATCTGGATGACTGGCTATTTGGGGTTTCTTCCAGATAAGATCTACATTTCTCCATGGACATGGCTGTTGAAACCCTGGTCTCCTTGGATCTTTCAGTTAATTCAGAAAAGTCCCACCTGTCTACCTCACAACACGTGGACTTCATTGGGGCCATGTTAGATTCTGTTTAGGGAAAAAACCTCCTTGCCTCTTGACAGAGTTCAGTCCTTGTAAGCCATGATGTCATTTTTCCCATCTAACCACTTACAGAGGGGGGTGCGCATTCAAAAACTATTAGGCATGATGGCCTCAACTACCTCTACATTGCCCTATTTTAGGCTCAAAATGAAGGCACTTCAGAACTGGTTCCTCAGAGTCTTCAAACTCAACATAGCATTGCAATCATGCAGAGTCCATCTGTGTATGTGTTACAGTCCTTAGATTTGTAGTCAAGGGAAGACCACCTTATCCAAAAGGATGGGATCCAGACCCGATAAATGTGATATACAGGTGTTCTCTGGCACTTCCCTTATGGGCTGGGGGACCTATTGTGGATTTTCAGTGAGTGGGCAAGAGAATCCACCCTACATATCAACCTCCTAGATATCAGAGCAATCAGAAATGCTCTCACAAGGTCTGTCTCCCTTTGCAAGGAGGCTTACTGCATATGACATGAGGTTATCCATATGAATGCCTCTCTTCAGGCCATCCACCTGGCAG